TAGTGAATATCCAATATTTTAAAAACATGAACTTCAAACGCTCATAAAAATTTAATTTGATTTGCTTGGAGACATTTTTTTTTTTTTTTTGATAAAGATCGACAAACTTATGAATAATCTTGTGTTACATTTTCAAATCTTGGATTAAAAAAATAAAAAAATTTATGATATTCTAACTCAAAATAATTTGCAAATTTTCGTCATTTTTACGTATTTTGTCAATATTTGAACTTTAAATGCTTAAAAAAAAAAAATTGGATTTTTAATTTTTTCCATCTGATATTTTATTAATATTTATAGAAAAAATGGAAACTGAAAATGTAAGAAAGCAGCTCAAAATAAGTCAAATTATTTGGAAAATGTTATGGTGTATAGAAAATCCTAATATAAATATTCAGTCAAAAAACCAAAATCGATTTTCTCGAAAACAGTTTAAACAGTTAAAAATTCCCGTTTTTCCTTAATTTTTCTTTTGTTTTTTTACGGCGTTTTTAAAACTACTTTTAAATTTTTACTTTTGACCCCCCAAAGTATCAACTAGATTCACTTTCCTATCAGAAAAATACTGCTGAATAAATTCTAAGAGTTTTTAATGTCCTAAAAGGTTAATGACAGACAAAAAAATAAACAAATAAACACACATCATTGTAAAATCAATTTATTTATCGTTCCCCTCAGAATCTAAAATATAAATAAATAATAATATTAATAAACAGTTCTTTTCTACAGACATTTTAAGTTAAAATTTGGATGAAATGCAAATATTAAATCTAAGAATAACAATTTTAGTTATTTTGTTGTAATTAAAAAATATTATAATATTATACAGGGTCCGTCAGAACAAACGCATGTTTTTCGAAATAATACTACGCTAAAAGTAATTTCCGTAAAATAATTTTTATTACATAAAGAAATGTAGAACCATATGCAATTTTTTTTTATTGTAACCTTTGTAACAAAATTTAAGTTTTGAAAATGATGTCAGTCATATGGCGGCCTTGAGACCCAATGCAGGAATGCAGGCGCTCCCGAAACGAGCCCATCGCGTCGGTCAGCATCTGTCCCGGAACTTCACCCTGAGCTTCAAAGACGACATGTCAGTATTAAAAAAGTGTGGTTTCAACAAGACGGGGCAACATCACACACAGCTCGTACCTCAATGGAGGTTCTTCGCCAAAAATTCCCCGGATGTCTCATTTCACACTTTGGTGACGTTCTGTGGCCCCCTCGCTCCCCTGACTTGTCATTGTGTGATTTTTTTTTGTGGGGTCACTTAAAATCAAAAGTCTATCAATACAAGCCACAAACCCTAGATGAATTGAAGAACGAGATCACACGAGTTGTGGGTGAAGTTCCGGGACAGATGCTGACCGACGCGATGGACTCGTTTCGGGAGCGCCTGCATTCCTGCATTGCGGCTCAAGGGCGCCATATGACTGACATTATTTTTAAAACCTAAATTTTGTTACAGTAAAAAAAAATTGCATATGTTTCTACATTTTTTGATGAAATAAAAATTATTTTAAAGAAATGACTTTTAGAGTAGTATTATTTCGAAAAACATGCGTTTGTTCTGACGGACCCTGTATAAAACTTAGAGCATATTATATGTTATACACACGTTGACATTTTAAAACGTAATTTTTTTTCAAAATTAATTTAACCTCCTGTTGTGCTTATGCCTTATAGTAGAATAAATTACTTAATACTTTCAAATATACTTTGTAATATTATAGGATGACCGACCGTCTTCGCTCAGATTCGTTTTTCGTACACAATGATTTTATATCATTGAATTCAAATTTAATACCATACCATTACCCACCCACTTGTAAGTACAACCACTCGACGCCCATTTATCAGTTTTTTTTTTTAAATCAGTAATTTTTATCATTTGAAAACATCATACATTTTCAAATATTTGATTTTTATAACAATATGGCGTAGTTGTCAGAACTATGTAGGAAATATGGCATTATTGCTGGAATATTTGAAATAAAATTAATACACCAATTATTCAAAATTGTATGTAACATACTCAACTGTAATCAATTATTGACTACTTACAAATATTAGTTAAAATAAAAATTCGTTCCCTAATAGTAAAGATGAATAACAGAACTAGGCAACCATTTCAAACAAAAACAGTTGGACAAGTGAGTACCACTCTGTTGTGCAGTTGCATGTCATTGTAATGGATGTGCTAATTCATAGGCTTGTTCAGATCTCATCCGCAGGTCGTGCACAACAGTGGCATATTCAGGGGAGAAAACTGCACCCCCCCCCCCAAAAAAAAAAATTAGATTAAGATTTGGGAATATGACCCCCAAATTTTGAAATAAGCTTTATCATCTGATAATAATTAAATAAATTTTACTTTTTTTATTAGGAATAAAACACGATATTTCTTTTATCAGATAAATAAATAACTATATATAGGTAGGTTATATTATGAAATTGTACTTAGTATTTAATTTTAAAATATAATTATTTTAATACTAATAATACTTTTTACAAACGTTTATTTTTACGTGATGAAAATCAAAAAACTTAACACGAAATCAGACACTTAGAAAAAAAATGTATATTATGCACCCCAATTTATAATGTACCTAAGTTGGATCAAATTTCGCAGGTCATGCCTGTGCATGACAGGCATGACCCGTAGACACGCCTATGGGTGCTATACTTGAATTCAATGATAAATCATTGCATACGAAAACGATTCTGAGCGGAGGAGACGTTGTCAGCCTAGCATACCAATATGAATAATCAAATTTTATAGATAAAAAAAAAAAATTATAATATCGAAAATATCTCATGGCCATAAATAGTGTAACATTCGGGTGAACTTTTTTTTATGTAAGAAAAATTTTTATACATTTCAAACTGAAATATAATTTACACAATATTGAAATTACCATGTATGGAAAATGGACGTTTTAAGATTTGATGAATATTTTGAGTAACTAGGATAATTTGTTTTTGAATTACAACAAACTATAAAATATCGATAGATGTAAATGCGATCATTTACCCGCGGAAATCCAATATCGTAAACATTTTAAATTCAAATGCTTATATAAAAATTATTGTTACTTGCCAGTAAATTTTTTTTTCTGTTTAAGATATAAAAATGTGTGTCGAATTTTCTATTACAATTTCTTATGTAAGATATGAAAAGAAAAACTTATTCTTTTAACTCAAAATTTTTTTGAAAATGTTCGAAATGTTGACTAAATTCATCAAAATTTGAACTTTAATTGCATAAAAAAATTATTCGTGTACTTATGTATCTTTAATATTTTTTAATTACCAGTAATGAAACTTATAAGGAACCTTACATTAAATTTTCAAAAGTTTTTATCGAGAATAATTTAAAAAAAAAAAATGGGTAAGTAGGTAAGTAGGACATTTTTTTTTTAAAGTCAGAGAAACTTATGATGAATCTTGTATTACATTTTCAAAACATAGATTTAAATAGAAAAATTGTTCACGAATTTCTAATATCTTTCACATTTTCGTGAATTTTACGTATTTTGTCTTTAAAAGCTTATAAAAAAAAAATTGTGGCTGGATTTTTAATATTTTTCACCTGTCTTTGAAACAATATATTAGGTGCCTTTTAATAAATGTTCAAGTTTTCTTCATAACAAATAAAAATTAATTGATATTTATAGAATAAAAAACTAAAATATTGAAAACTGAAAATGTCCGTAAACATCACAAAACAAGTCAAAATATTTTAAAAATTTTAAGGTGTATAGAAAATTTTAATATAAATATTCAGTCTGGTAAATTTTTACTTTTGACCCCCCCCCCAACAAAAAAAAAAGTACCAACTAGATTCACTTTCTTATCAAAAAAATGAAAATATTTGACTGTTGAAGATAATCTAAGCACTTTTTCTGTCCTAATAAATGATCGCGGCCCATAGTTGGGCACCCCTATGTTACACAATTAAGTATAATATACATATAGTAGCTATATAAATTCATCTGAATAGATAATTTAAATTTTAAAATAGTGACTGTACGTTTAAATTAAATTAAGTGGACACATTTAATATTATATTATATCATATAGGATGATAGATGTATAACATAATTGACAATTGTTCAAAGTTATATGTAAGTTTTACATGTATTTTATATTTGTTAAGAAAAACTTATTTATTCTTATATAAAGCACATTAAAACAAATTTTTCTGCCATTGAGTGAATTGCTACTGGTCTTGATTTTAAAGTTTTTATTCGTAACCTTTTTTTTGTTTGGTGTTTTTGTTTTATGTTTGCTCTTATTTTCTCTAGTGTTCATACATATTATATTAAAATCACTTAAAATATTGTCTGGTGATGGAGAACAACCTTATGATTAAGGGGCATCGCTACAGCATTGATTTAAGGAGAAACATTTAGGCAAAATTTCTAATCTCGTCGTCGCCACCCGAGATCTATGTGTTAGTCGTAAATAATTATTAGTGTGTGTGGGTGGCGTCCATGTGGGTCAATTGTAGCACAGAACAATGATTCTATCTGACGTAGGGCTCTCGCACGCACATGTCAGTATATAGTATTGACGTATTGTGATCATGAAAAACTGTTTATTTTTCATTTAAACATACGATTCTCATTCCAACAGTACGTCGCAACGATTACCTCGATTTTCATTCTGACAAAATATTCTTATTTTCCACAACATGTACGAGGGGTCGATCGAGGCACTTTTTTAAAATTTTATTTAGTTAATTAAATATTTAAGTTGGAAATTCTGTATTTTTTTTGAATTTTTTACAATTTTTATTACAATTTAATCTACAAAAATTAAAAATGTGGCTCATTGTATATATTTCGGACAATCAGAATATTTTTTCAGAATGAAAATCGTGATAAACGTCGACACGTATCGTTGAAATTAGAAACAGTAGTTTTTGACAAAAAAAAAGAAGTGGTAGTGAGGCCCCTTAAAATTAATATCATTATGTAATATGTATATTATTTATGTATTTTTCATTACTTGGATACAGCAAAGAATGGGATATATTGGTATTTTCTCAGTCATGGCCATATACTTTTTGTCACACTTGGACTGTTAATTCAAATACTCACACTTGCAACTTACCAGCCAATCGCAATCAATGGACAATACATGGAATTTGGTATTTATATGATACATCTATATAAATAAAAGTACAATATGTTTTTCTAAATTGTATTCTTATATAATTTTAGGCCATCTAAAATTGGTGCCTTTGGTCCAGCTTTTTGCAACAATCAAACAACATTTAATTTAAATGCTTTAAATCCCATTATTCCTGAATTAAAAAATCGTTGGACAGAAATAAAAGAGTCAAAGACATGGACAAGGAAACAAGAAGGCGAACTGTGGAAACATGAATGGATAAAACATGGATCATGTTCTAAATCACTTGCAAATTTAGATTCAGAATTAAAATATTTCAGTCAAGGGTTAGAATGGTCTAAACAATATGTACTGAGTGATTTATTAGAACAGGGAGGCATTAAGCCCAATGGCAGTTATCCAATTACTCAGATTTGGCATACATTAAGAACCGGATTGGGAAAAAACCCACATATCGATTGTTATTATGAAAGTGTATGTTTTATATAATTTAAAATGTTTATAACAAATAATAATTCAATTTATTTTATTTTTTAGCGTACCAACAAACCCTATATTGATGAAGTGCGTATATGTTTTAACAAATCATTAGCATTGATTGATTGTGATCCGTTCAGAAGAAACACCAACAAACCATCTACAAATTGTCCTTTGGATAAAGAAATATTTTACATAGGAGCTGTAGTTTAATCTTGAAGTATCCTCATATTATTAATACGTGTGTGGTATGCTAAGCTCAGTAAGATCTGAATAGAAGACAAGAATGTAATGTAGTCATGTCACATTTAAACATAATGTTTCAATTAAAATTTCATAGTTACATTTTTAAATAAGTACAAAATATTCAAACAATATACTTTATTATAATATACAATATTATAATATTGTCATTTATAATAATTTTTGTAGTAATATGTACATTTTTAATCTTTTTTCACTAAATATTGACAGCTTTCTTTTAGTGAACCTTTGTATTCTATACATTTTTGTTTTATCATTTTTAATTTCTTCATTATATTTGTATATTTTGTATTCCACTTTCATTGTTTATTCATATTATTGAAATTTGTATTATATTATTTTTTAATGATTTAACTGATTTTAGATTTAGTAGGTATCTTCCTAACTTATAATCTATTAATCACAATATAATATATCAATTATTTTAACAAGTAAATAAATATTGCTAAAAGTTAAAAATACATTTAAATAAATAATTAAGTATTGAAAACAAATACTAAAAAAACTACGACTATGATTTAGATCTGTTCTAATATATATTCATTTTTTTTCTACTTACTCAAAAAATTGTATTACCAAATATTAATTAGGTAATGATTTTAATATATAATACTTACATAATATTATATTGTATTATAATTGTTTTTTTAAATTTTCCTTATTCTTCTTGTCAACTACTTTTAAATATTAATTATCTATCAATAAATATTTGTAAAATCTCAACATTTTATATTTTATTTTGTTCCAACTGGATTTTTTTTTAAAAAAAGATATTCACTACCTACTACCTAGCTTATATTTTATTATTTTCTCTAGATTTTTCAAATTGCGTATGTCCAATCTACAATTGATTGAAATAACTGTAATATCACTGAATATAACTACCTTAACTAAAGGGCCATTCGAATAAATTTCTAATCGTGCTAAAATTTAAATATAAAGTACTAGATGTATAACCCGACTTCACCCGCTAAAAAATGAATAATGAATGTAAAATACAGTTTTCGTGTATCTCAGTTCAGATATTTCAGATCTTGGTATATTTTTGAACGTGGTTCAATCGGGCGGGACACTTTTCGGCCAAAATGAACCTTTCCCTTTTCGGTAAGTTCACTTTTCGTCCGTTTTCGGCGAGTAGGTACACTATTTTGGTCACCAATTAAAATTTTTTTTTTCTATTTAGCCATCATATAATACAGATACATTATAATATTATCAATTTACAAAAAAAAGAACAAAAAGCTATAGGAAAACGTATTTTTTTTTTTTTAAACTGTAGCACATGCACGCATATTCTCTATATTAAGAGGGATTACTAATTATAGTTGGGAATCCAACATCTACGTATACATTGAATCCAGTGTTGTAAAAACCGGGTGTGCAGAGTATGCACCGCACACAGGCCTCGGGCCTCATAATATATCGAAGGGCCTCAAAAGATCTAAAGACTAATATTAAACTAATATAAAATTATTAAAATACTAGCTGCAGATCCCGTGCACTTCGTTGCCCCGTTAAATGTATCAATTCTATATGTCTCAAAGTTTGTTCAATTCGTTATTTAATATTCGGTGTATGCGGTGTTCAAAATTAATCTTAACTTTTCCGTTGCCCCGAATAAAAATTCTGATTCGCACCAGTAATCTACCTGCGATAGATCGCGGACCCTGTGCTGTTTGTACGTAAGTGTATGATTTAACTCTAAAGTTATACCAAGTTTATCGTTTTTACTTCATTTCGCCTAAGGTGGATTATTATAATAATTTTATACAAAATCCTATCCTAACCTAACCGTACGAAAACCCGATGAAAAAAAAACAAATTTAACCCTTAGTAAATTAACCTATCTTCTTCCCAGACGTCTAAATCTACCCACAAACATTAATTTATATATATATAACTATATAAATACACGGACTATAACTATACAGACTCTGGAACTACTTATTGGATCTTTTTGTATTTATTATATATACCGGGTGATTCTTTTATCAAACAACACTCATTATTTCAAAAAGTGTAAATTTTTTTACATACTTTCAAGTCGCTTATAAAACAACGTTTTTATTAAAAAATTATATTTTTAAATATTTTTTATCCTTATAGTTTTTTAAGTTTTTACTTTTTTGAATGACAACATAGGGTTTTAATTTTATATTCTAAAGTAGAATATTTTTCTTAGTATTTTGATACATGAAAATTGAATTTGAGGCGAGTAGTTTATGAGTTATAAGTATAAAATATAATTTTTTAATATAAACGTTGTTTTATAAGTGACTTGAAACTATGTAAAAAAATATCTTCAAAAAAATTTACACTTTTTGAAATAATGAGTGTTGTTTGATAAAAGAATTACCCAGTATATGATATATGTATACCTATTGACAAAAAATAATGATACAAATCAAAAACATGCCCGATTAACCAATAGCAACCGATATAATATAATACACTGGTGGATTTTCCTAACATTTTTTTTTTCATATAAACCTTATCCATGAAATACACTTTCATTTAAAAAAAATAAAGAAGATCTGATAAGAAGCTCCAGAGATAAGTAGTACAGAGATTTTCATTTCACATTTTTATAGTTAGATATTATATTACAATTTATATTTAAAAAGTAAAGCAAATAGTTTTTTTTTTTATTATTTTTATTATTGCAATAGCTTAAAAACCCATGGCAACCATTTATAAACAAAAATTTCCATCGGAAATCTCAAAATTCCCGTTTGAGCACCTCCCGGGGTTGGTCCTCTCCCTTTTTAAATTAGCCTATCTTTTAAGTTGGACCAAATTACACGCGGTGTAAAAAATTTCATCAAAATCGGTTAAGTGGTTTAGGAGTCCATTGAGGACTACAAACATTGTGACACGAGATTTATATATATTAAGATATAAATTATTTATTATTGATTTGGAAAGGAAACCAATGTTATTTCATTTTTTTTTATATAGCATGGAGTCGTGATCACTGTTTTTAGATTTTGAGAGGAACGAACAAAATGTATTGATTTTACAAGATGTGTACAATTTTTTTCATTTCTGTCGGTCATCAACAGTGGGTGGTAAAAATATTCCGAATTTCGAGATCAGCATTTTTTCTGTTAGAAAAGTGAATCTAGTTGGTACATTTTGGAGATCGAAACCGAAATTTTTAGTTTTAGATATTACAAACGTCAATAAAAAAAAAAAATTGTCATTTTCACCTAAAACCAAAAATTGTATTTTTTGGTATAACTCGAAAACTAATAACCGTAGACCATTGAAGTTTTCACCAAATATTTATATAAATATTTTCAATAAATTACATTTTGGAAAATTTTTACTTTTTTGAGTTAGTTATAGCCTTGAGAAATTGTTTTAAAGTTATAGACTATTTTAAATTAAAAATTTTTTTTGTTTAAGCCCGAATGTTTGTCTGCTGACTTTAAAAATTGCAAAAAAAGTTTTTGGGGTGAGTACTGAAAAAGATAATAAGGGACCTCAATATTTTGGTTTTGCACACAGGCCTCAAGTAGCCTAGTTACGGCACTGGTTGAATCTATACGTTGACGGTCGATAAAAGTAATAACTAACAACTACCTATCTACGCGTATAGAATATCTTTCATCGTTATCTTCGTTCTGATTGATCATAAGTCTGTTTAGTGTATGTAGGTACGTACTAAGGTGTGTTCATATAGTCTTAATAGTCCGGTGTGTACTTAAATTAGTTTATTTTTTTTATACACTATGACAAAATTTATCGAAAGTAATCGTGGTAAACGTGTGTTAGTGTTTCAAAATTATAAATTTTTGTATGCAAACACTAAACTTGATGGAACAACGCGGTGGAAATGTGTGGTTCGATCGTGCAGTGTTAAATTATACACCGATAAAAATGACGAAATTATCATAAATAATGAAAATAATGAAAATGAAAACGAAAATGATCATATGATAGATCATAATCATAATCCATATGAAACAGAAATTATTGATCGTCAAATAATTAATACAAGTTGTAAAAGGAAGGCCGCAGAATACATATTTATTCGACCAAAAAAAATTTTAAATAAATTGAAAATTGTAATTATGAAAATTGTGACTATATTTTTATAATAATATTATATAAATTGGTATAGTTTAATAAAAAGAAAATATTTTTAATTGGTAACCAAAATAGTGTACTGGCCGAAAACGGACATTCCAGAATGGCCGAAAAGGGAAAGGTTCATTTTGGCCGAAAACGGTTCCGCCCGTTCAATCTACTCTACCTGATATCACTAACAACGAACTGAAATTTTCTTCTAAATCGGTCAAGTAATTTTTGAGTCTATAGAGGACCAACATAGAAGAATTATTTCATAAATACACACAACATATTAGTTATAAGATATAATTTCTTTATTCGAGACCATAAAAACGAAGATTTAATACATGCTTGTACCTCAGATGCCAGAGTAAATAGTAACATTCCCAGCTTTTAAAAAATAAAAAAATCGAATTTTCTTAGTTATGACTTATGAGTGTGAATGAGTGTCCTTATAACGACTTTAACATGTACATGCACTTGCGGGAGTGCTCCCCTATTTATTTTATATAATTAGTAACTAGTAAGTACAGTCACTTCCACTATAATAACGATCACTTATTATTCACGTTCACACGACCTGCCTGCTCATTGAAAATACATAGAAAATTGCCTATACTAAACGCCTTAAAAACGGTAAATACGGTCGGGTTCGAATCTCACAGAACAATGATGCAGCTCATTATTAGTCCGATTTTTGGACAGGCATGTGACATTGTAAACATCATATTCTCATTTTCGATTTAAAATGATCTACCTACATTTTAAAAGTTAATAATATTCAATTTTGGTAAATCTTAAAATTGTCCACCCATAACAGCAAGCCGATTATTCTGAACGTAAAATTGTTATGCGTTAATAATACAAAGACAAAA